GCTTTGTACGGTATTTACGCACTCGTTGTTTTTGCATCAGAAATCTTACTCGTTCGCTGCGCTCACTCGTTCGATTTCTGATACGTCAACAACTCGTGCGTAAATACCTTACGCCAGCACTTTCCATGAAGTATTCTCTATTTTCTTGTTTTAGATGTCACTGTCAACTGGAAAATCAGAAATAATGGTAGCCAACGAGCAGAGGGTTATAAATGTGATACCGTTTATTTATCTCAAGACGATATTTGGCAAATAGAAGATGTCAGGATAGGAAATCCAATGTGTTCATACGTTACACTGGAACCTTATCAAGAAGGTGCAAACCCAGACAAGTCCTATTCGATGACAGAAAAGTTGTCACTGACAGGAATCGGTGGTTACCATGGGCTCGTAAAAACCCGTAGTAACATTCTCGACCTCAACCAACGAAACAACATCGCTGTTGGACCCAAAAATATAAATGTAACGTTTCCAAGTCTTCCACTAGATGGCTGTGTTGATGTCACCTTGAAGTCACGTGAGGAAAAGTCTTACATTGTAGAAAGTGTCCCCGATGAAAGGACGCTTATCGTAACAGTGAATAGCAGCAGTGATGATGCAATCCATGAGATGTTTGTCAGGCACGCTAAACCAGCCACTGCTTATCAATATGACGGCGGCCCACGATTTGTATTGTCTGCAGACCAAGAAGTTATTATACCTAAGACGATTGTTGGTAGGTACTATGTCTTGATAAGACGATCTGACATGTCTACCAATTCATCTACTTCGCGACTCTGTGCACGGATTGCTAAGTTTGAAATCATTCGTGTTTCTCCTAATGGTGTGGCTCCCCTGGGCAATGCCACTTTGCGTTTTGAAGGAACTCTTTTTGGACAAGATGTTGAAGCCTTCCTTGTCGACGCTTCTGCAATTCAAAACGTTTCCATAAAAGCTACTGAAGTCTATCGTATGAGCTCAACAGAACTGTACGCCACGTTTGTCACGACAAGTTTTATTAAGGGTGCAACATTCCACGTCAAATTACTAAACGTAGAGACTAAGGAAGAAGCCATTTTGCCGCGTTCTTTGGCCATAACAGGAGGTGAACCTGGGCGGTTAGAGACGCATGTGGATTTCCCCGAGGTGTTACGAATGCTAAGTCCGGAAGAGGATCCCGATACCGTAGTGGTAACGGTATTGTATGAAAATGTTGGGGATACCGACATTACCGCTCCTGTGTTGGCTCTCAGTGTGACCGGTAAACAAGTTCAGCTTCGTCCGGTTCAGAGAGACAAACCTTCGCCTCAAGCCTCAACTACCGTCGTTTTCCTTGCGCAAGCATTTCGAGGTCCAGGTGGCATCCTACCTCCAAAGGCTTACGGAGAAATCACATTCGACATAGTGCAAAGCAATGTGAGGGGGGTAGATATAGAAGAGTTTGCTCTTCGGATTGTTGTTGGAGACAAACAACCTCATATTTACATGAACAGCAGTGACCAACTTAAACCCGACTTTTTGCGCGGAGAGCTTTGGGCTCCAGTGTGGAGAAACTTTTTGTTTTCAGTTGGACGGACCGTTTCTTCGTTTCAGAACCGAATGACTGCTGCAAGTACTTTCCTTAGTAGGTCAGGAAGGCGGGTCAACTTATTGACTGATCTTGTTCAGTTCCAACTTGATGTGGCCAATGGAAAGCTTACCGGTAACTTAATTTATTGGTTTGTTTTAATGGGCGCTATATAGGAACCATAGGCAGACTAAGCAAAGACAACACCACTATAGTCGATGGCGCGCGCTGATTTAAAAACCTTATTGACCAACGGCAGAACAGCAAATGAATTACTCGTTGTTGGACGTCGCGTTGTCTTTGCTTGATCTGCCAGTTGTGGCTGGGGACTAGTTTCAAGCCCCGCTCTAGCCAATAACTTAATAACTGGAGTTGTTTTTCGGTTTTAAATAGCCAGCTGATTCGCTTCCTGTTAATTGGAATTTTCAAACTATTTCTCTGTTATCTGTCATTTGAAATTCTTTCTTTTGTTATGTTTCGTTAATACCCTTTATCTTAAAAGCTTCTTCCCTTCTATGGAAAGGATTATCACGGCATTTGTTGGTTTATTTTTCTCCAGCCTTGCAATCAGGTGGTTTGCTTTGGCTAGCAAAACATACGCCCTTTAATTTGCAACAAAGTGGTACATTTTGCGTACTAGAGCAAGATTGCACGGGGAAAGAAAATCTATGATTAGAGATCTTGTCTCTTGTAATTTCTCCATTTATCTGTTTTCTTTTTTTTTAAATGACGTTTATTATATGTATTTTTCTTGTAACAACAGACACTTTTGAACAACTAGATTTTCAACCTCATGTAGTTTATTTATTTGTTTAAGGTGAGCCACTCATTTTGGAAGATGACTTAAGCGGCCAGTCCTCACCAGATGATTCACTGCCTTTAACGTTACCAAGAATGTATAGCCCCCTTCTAACGAAACGTAGAGGCAAGGGTGTCTTTGGCACCGGGTGGATGTCGCCTTGGTGGTAGGAAAACTTTTATCTATGACGTTAGCTTTTCCCTTTAGTTTGCTCAAAAATAATCTTATTTTCCTATGCCATCAGGTTATATTCGGCTCTCGTGCCAGGCTGTACAATTCATAATATTGCAGTCAAAGACAAATACCAGTTGAGCTTCGAGCGTAACAACATACGTTGAACGGTTTTGTTCATTCCACTTCACCTGTAAAGGTATGCCAGAAAAAGAAAAGTCCCCTTCCCTTCTCTTTGAAATCTTGGATTGTTGTCTGTATTGTTTGGGCAATAGGAATAAAATGAAACACTAGGACGACACAATTGGGAAAAAATAAACAAAGCAAACAAACAAAAAATCAATCTTACCGGGTACCTCTTCTTTGCGGAGCTTCTCGTGATTCTATTTTCTTACAACCAACTTATAGGGAAGCTGAGGTAATTCAAATTACGCAGAAGGCGATCAAAATAGTTCAACTGCGAGAGGAACTTGTGTTTGAAGTCAAGGCGACTGGGCTTTTTGAGTCAGCCGATGGAAAGAAAATTTCTGTTAACAACACAGGTACGCTTGCTATTTTGTCTTTATTGTTTTGACAAAACTGGCCTTCGACTGAAAATTTGGTATTAGTTCACATTTGCCTGTCCTTCATCACATGGTAAACAGTTAAGAGTGAATGTCTGTAAAAATCAAACAAAATCGGAAAAATCGGGGCCACGGTCAAACATCGATTTCGATCCTTTTTTGTGTGCAGTAAGCCCAAGGTGTGTGATAAAATGACATGAGGCTAGTGTTTGAAAATATTCTTTTTAAGGGCCACAAACAATAAAAAACCGTCTCGACCCAAATATCACAATTTCACTGGTTTTAAACGTGAGATTACGCGGTTTTCAGGAAATCTTTATTCGGACACAAAAACTAAATTCAGACCTTTTTAACTATAGTTGTGTACACTAGGTCTTCCCCTTTTTAAAAAAAAAGTAATATGTGGGGCTTAATGTTTGTAATAAGAAAATTAATAGCGGATTTGTAAACAACACGCGAAACACGGTTCCGAACAACTCAACATAAACACGTGGTAGTGTCTCAAAATTAACCAAACTTCATTCACGTACCCTGGACGGATGGTTCTTTTTTAGAGATTGTCTTATTTCTCTGGGATCTTCACTCTTCTGAGTTTAAACGGCAGTTGAGTTGCAGCAAATTACAAATAGCGCCTTGTTATAAAAAGCAATAACTTGTGCGTGAGCGCACAGTAAAATCCAATGAAACAAATATTATTCGGCATCTATAAAGACAGAAAGTGACAGAACATGCTGAAATTCAGTTTCAATGCACGTAAACGAACAAAAGCGCTAAAAAGCTCCGAAATTTAACACAAACCAATGAGCTCAAATCCATCTGAAGTTATCTAAAGGTGTTACCACTATCACGTAGACGTACCGCAATTTCCTCAGTTGCTTGAGATTCTGCCAGACGTTTCACTCGCTTCTTACTATTTTGAAGTGAAACTGCTCTAATTATCTGCAAGAATTTCCCAAAATGATTTAGATTTAGTCTTCGTTTTCCCTCACATGAGGATCCTCAAGACTTAGAGATCGGCGAAGTCGGTCCTTTAAACTGACCGATTGCGCAATGTAAAACAAAAGACGTGTTGACAACTCATAGAATACGATCCTCTCTAAATCATCATCTAAAGTCATCGCTTGACAGCTTAAACAAATTAATTAGAGATTTGATTCATTGCACTCAATGGAAACATAGAAAAACAACTCGTGGGATCTTTCAAAGCAAGCCGCAACAAACGGAGGGTAAAAGGCGTCCGAACAATTTGCGTGTGAGCTGCAAATAGCGAGCTAAAAAGCTTATTTTTCTTGTGTGTGTAACATTTGGCTAAACTGCGAGGAAATATAAAAGCACGTCGTGGGGGGTCTGGGTCGGCTAGGGAGGAGTGAAGACGTTGGAAAATCGCTCCCGCAAATTTAATCTTTAAATCTTCTCCCGCTTGCCTCGATACGTTTATATGGATGACATTTTAAGCAGATTTAAGCGTAAGGAGAGGGGAAGCAGCAGTTCGGACAGTGAGACCTCACCGCAAGGAAAAAGAGTTAGTATTTTTTTTTCTTTTTCGGTGGGTCATAATTTAATATTAAACTTTATTTACTTTCATACCGCGGGAGCACTATTTGCATATGCAATTAGTGGTACCAAATCCCATGGGCTGCGTGTTAGATAATATTATCGGCAGCCATTATATCCTATTGTTGTCTGTGTTAAATGTTTTGTGTTTTATGACAGTACGTTGTGCTATTATTCCTTTCGTTGTTAATTTATGTATTTCTCGTGTGCCACTTGTCATCTCAAGATTAGGTAATGACGTTACGATAGTAAGGATTATACTGATTTCAAATTATTATCCTTGAATGTTCGAGGGATTCGCTCCGCTACGAAGAGAAAAGCCATTTTCATGTGGTTAAAAGAACAGAAATCGGATATTATTTTTTTACAAGAATCCTACGGTACAGCAGAAGTTGAAGATATCTGGAGAACACAATGGCAGGGTAAGCTTTTCTTTTCACATGGTACTTGTCATAGTTGTGGGGTAATGGTTCTGGTTAGAGGTGATTTAGATTTCAATTTGATTTCGAATGGGACGGACAATGAAGGTCGCTATATTGTATTAAAAGCTGAAGTGCAAGGAGCAAATTCCTTATTCGTAAACGTTTATGTTCCTAACAAAGTTCAGGAACAATGCCGTTTTATTGAAAATCTGAATTCGACAATCGATGATGTTATTAAAGATAATGAACCTAAGCTTGTTGTGGGTGGGGACTTTAATGTTACGCTTGAGTCAGATCTTGACTGCTCGGGTGGAAATCCAGCTCAAAAGGCTTCAGTTAAAAGTATTCTGGATTTGTGTCTTGATTTTGATCTGGTCGACATCTGGAGAATTCGGAATCTTACCACTCGACGTTATACGTGGAGGCAAAGAAACCCATTTACTCAAAGGAGGCTAGACTTCTGGCTAGTAAGTGGTGTCTGTCAAGAAGACATTGAAGGAACTCATATTATTCCGTCCATAGATTCTGATCATTCTGCGATCATTCTTCACTTCAACAATATAGACCGGCAAAAACATGGTCCTTCATTCCGGAAAATTAACGCTAGTCTACTTAATGATGAAAATTTTGTACTTTTAATCTACCAAAGTGTTCCGCTTTGGCTAGATGAGTTTAAAGAGGTTATCGACAAAAGAATATTATGAGATTTGAATAAGTACATGATAAGACAGGGGAACGATAAATTAAGGAAAAGGCTCGACAAAGAAGGCAAAAGATATCTGATATTGAAAACTCTCGCAAAGTCTTGGAGAAAAAGTGCGCTAACAACCCTACTACCGAGAATATTGAACAACTTGAAATTTTGAAATTGGAACATGAAAATATTTATGAGGAATTTTCAAAGGGAGCAATCATTCGCTCGAAGGCAACTTGGTATGAAAAGGGAGAGAAAAGTAACAAATATTTCCTCAATCTAGAATCTCATCGGAAGGCTAAAAGTTCAGTTCGTAAGGTTTTTAGCGAAGAAGAATTGTTAGTCACTGACCCTAAAAAGATTTTGGGGGTTATTGAAGGCTTTTATTCTGGTCTGTATAAGAAGGACGTTCTAGAACCTTCTGAAAATCTGATGAATACTTTTTTTGGAAATTCCGCGCATGCCTCGTCTCTCTGTTGACGATTCTCAAGTGTGTGAAGGGAAGTTAACAATTGAAGAATGTGTGAAGAGCCTCAATTCTTTTGAACCCAATAAATCTCCAGGCAACGACGGGTTAACAGTTGAATTTTACAATTTTTTGGGGGGAACATAGTTGGGGAATTACTGGTAGCCAGCCGCAACTACTCCTATGACGTCGGAGAATTATCAAACTCACAAAAGAAAGCAATTATAATATTATTGGGAAAAAAAAGATAAGGATAAAAGACACATATCTAACTGGAGACCAATATCTCTGATCAATGTCGATGTTAAAATAGGATCGAAGGCGATCGCTAAAAGACTGGAATGTGTCCTGCCCAGTATTATACATTTTAACCAATGTGCATATGTTAAAGGCAGGACTATTTTTGATGCGGTTAGAACAAGTAGAAGACATCTTAGAGTACACTGAGAGATTTAAAATCAACGTAAGATTGATAGCTAGAGATTTCAAAAAAGGCTTTTGATTCTGTAAGCAGAGAATGTCTTTTTCGTACCTTATCTGCTGCTCGTTTTGGCTCTTCTTTTATCCAATGGATTCACACTTTTTATAATAATATTTCTAACTGTGTTTCAAACAATGGATAAGTTAAGAATTTGGAAATGGAGGGATCTTACTATCATTGGTAGAATTCAGCTGGTCAAAACATTTATTATCCCCACTTTCTTATACCGTGCTAGCTTAATTTGTATGGACAAGGAATTTGTAAATGAAGTAAACAAAATTATATTTGACTTTATCTGGAAAGGTAAAGACAAAGTGAAACGTCGTGTGCTCGTTGGGGACATTGAAGATGGAGGATTGAAAGCTCCACACTTGGATTCTATTATTAAAACTCAAAGAATATTATGCTGTAAAAAGCTCGCGAGTGAAGACCTTAGTAGCTGGAATATTATTCTTCTTCATTACCTAAAACCAGTAGGTGGCAAATTTATCCTTGGTTGCAACTTCGATGTAAAAAAGCTGCCTATCAAGCTTCCGGGTTTTTATGAGGAATGTTTAAAGGATTTTTCGCGATGCTCCGCAGTAAACAAGGTTAGTCTAGACAATATTAATGCAGTGGATACTTCAAAGATCATTCTGTGGAATAATTTTTATATCTTAATTGGTGGTAAAACCGTTTTCAACAAAAGATTAATAGATAAAGGAATTGTAAGAATAGGGGATCTTATTGCTGAAAACAATGAAATCATAACGAGCAAGCTAAGGGAGTTAAATTTATCCCCATTGGACGGATTTCAACTTTTTTCAGTGATCGACGCACTCCCGAAGGACTGGCGTCATGCGTTGAAGAGTTACGGGTATGATCGCCTTGTTTCTTTCGATCTTCACGAGCAGACTCGGTTGTTTTTAACTGGTAAAGATGTTTTATTAAGTAATGCTGACTCAAAAGGCATCTATAAAGAAATTAGAGACAGAGAAATTGTTCAACCAACTGCGCAAAAGAAATATGTTGAATTTTTTGAAAATGATAATTTAAACTGGACAGAAATTTACAGCTTACCCTACCAGGTTGCTCTTGACACTAAGTCACGTGAATTTCAATATAAATTGTTACACAGATATCTGGTCACCAATGATTTTTTAAACAAAATTGGTATTTCTTCATCACCACGATGTTCTCTGTGCGATGGGGCGGATGAATTCCTTGAACACCTTTTTGTCTCTTGCCTGATTACTCAGATTTTTTGGGCAGAAGTTATTAAATGGTGTAGCAATCGGGGAGTGGTTATTAACCATCTCTCTGCTAAAGATATATTATTTGGGATAAAGGTACATAAAGACAAGTTATTTATTAATCGTACTTTGCTAGTTGGTAAGCAGTATATATATAATTGCAGATGCACGAAAACAAACGCTTGTTTACGGGTTTTCTTGGCAAGACTCAATAACGTTTATCAATTAGAAACTATCATTACCAAATCGAAGAATAAAATGTCTTTTCATTTATCGAAATGGCAAGCACTCTTGACAGGTGGTACACAATTGCCGACAAATACTTGTTAAGGTTTAGTAGTATTGATACTGTCGTTGTGTGTCGTGTGTGCTGTGCGTGCGTGTGTGAGTCATTTGTGTATTGTTTTTTACAAATTGTAATGTCGGTTATGTATGTAAAAATTAATGTTATTGTTGTAAGGCAAGAAATTGAAATAAACAGTGATTAAACTACAAAAAAAAAAAAAAGCACGTCGTAACAATTATTCCGAAAACAAATCTTACATAGAATTCTTTGGTCAGTTTGCGAAGGTTTACGCAAAATTTTTTAGTACAATATTTATGTTGCCAACGGAAGGCCTTTTTGTTACAAGAGAAATGTATCCGTTGCCTGAACGACTATAAACTGCGAGCAGTCTATTATTTTTCTCTACAAAGTTACCCAAGCCGTAAACCATGCAGACGAGCGGCGAAGCCGCGAACTGCTGAACGAGAGCGCCTCGACCTTCACTGATTTCACTGAAACGCTTTGGCCGAAAAACGGAAAGCGCGGGCATGGAAAGTCTCTTACACCCAAGGTAAATTCTCTATTGTAAAGTCGTTGTCTACAATCTCGCTAGCTGGAATAAGAACTAAACAAATTTTGAGAGAAAAGGCGGGATGCAAACAGTCTAGAAAGGTTTTCTTAAATGTTTGAAATAAACACGACTTAAAACCTCGTAATATTGTGAGACCTGACCTTAGAGTTTGCTTGAACAACAGGGGTTTTCCTTCTTTTCTTTGTCGCGCGTTGGTCACTATGCCGCGCATGGAGCGTTTTAAAATTTTATTTTTTCCGCTGCACTGAGACTTACATTTAGCGGTAATGAAAATGGTCTATGCAAAAAAAGGCGGGCTGCAAGCAGTCTAGAAAGACTCTCTTAATTGTTTGAAATAAATACGACTTATAAACTCGTAATAATGCGAAACGTGACCTTAGAGTTTGCTTGAACAACAGGGGTTTTCTTTGTTTTCTAGGTCACTATGCCGCGCGTGGAGCGTTCCAAACTTTTACTGAGCAAATCTTATTTTTTCCCCACTAAGACGTACGTTTAGAGGTCAAGAAGATGGTCCATGTATGTTAGGTAATTATTTTCTAAAAATAGCTTCTTTTATTTTCACTCAAGATCATGCAGTCCATTAAGTTTTTCTTGGAATAAGTGAATTTTCGAACTGGAGCGCCCTTTTTTTGCTATAGTAATTAAAGTGTAAATAAAAAATGCCTGCCAAGACCATTGCAGTCACAAGCATGAAAATAGTCAACGTTAGATTTCAAAAGTTTCTACATTTTTAAATCTTTATGATATGAGTTTTCATATGAGTGAAAAGCTTTTAGACACATAAACGTATAAAGTTGATTTTTTGCCCTTCAAGAGCTACTGCTAGAACAAAGCCTTCTGGTGAATCTAAAGGTCGATAGTTGTTAAAATGATAATACTAGGTTCTGACATCATAAATTAAATTAGTTTCAATACTAAGGGAAACTATTACTTGTTCATTCCCCTGCAGTTTAAGAGTGATTTTCTGTAAGATTTGAACTTCGGCCAGACACGGTACCTCATCGATTGGGCTGATTTTTGGGATGTAGTCTTAGAATGGTGTCCTAAATACTGAATGCATATTCTAAGGTTCGAATTCTCTTTGGTTTCAAAGATACAGGAATGATAGTTTTGACGAGGCCTCGAGGGGCCGCCATGTTGGTGAACTGAAAGAGGTTTACAATGAGTAATTGTAGCCTTATGATGAAAATAACTTAATCGTGACTCATACAGTTTCAAAGAACTATCCTTCCTCCTTTCATTTACCTTCTATTATCTGAAAATGGTTAAGCCTGTGCTACGAACGGCTATAACTTCTTACGGCACTTTTTCGGTACTTAAAATTAAAGTTACACAAATTTGGTAGAAATTGGAAGGTCAATATCACCGAAGCCACATCGATTTAGACTAAGCCATTTTAACTAAACATAGTTTGTTTATAGATAAGTTAGATTGTTGAATAAAATAATTGGGCAAATGTAATGGAGCAGAATTATAACTGCATGAATGCGCAATGGTTCAGCCCCTTGGTCGCTAAAACTTCCAAACAAAATTCGGTAAATATTTGAAAAGAAAACTCTAAAAAATTGATCGGGCCTCTTAAAGCCTATCTATCGCTTAAGAGAGCCTCACTTGTAATGTAAAAAGGTGATCTTTTGCTTCTGATCTTGCGAAAAGGTTGAAATATGCGCTAAAATTAAAGTTATAAATTTTGTTACTCACGGTAGCTCGTTAAGTTGGTTCTTCGATTTGGCAGACCAATCGGGAGCCGCTCGTGTGCACAGTTACAATTTTCTCTGTAGTATTTCGCTGCCTAGAGCTACAAATTACATATTTTCTTAGGCAAAGATAACGCAAACTTTGTCAATTTTTATAAAAAGGCTAGAACCTACCTTTGTTTCTATGTACATTTGGCAGATCTTTCCAGCGTTACAGATATAAAACTAGTACCTCATCAAGTCAAATTACGTGATCATATCGTCATTACTGAATAAAAGTCCGAAAAATATGACATGGAATGATCGGTAGGAGACGAAGCTATTTTAGGAGGACAAGAAACTGCACGCTGGAATGGAAGTGAAATTAACAACCTTACATGTAATCCAGTTCAGTGTTCTTGACGCTATTTAACGTTTCACCCGACTTTGAACAGAAAGTTGTTTTTTTTTTTATTTTCTTTTTCTTTCTTGCGTTTATTCTGCAGTTCGCCCGGTATTTTCTCGTAACTTTTAATCTTTTAGCAAACTAGAACTGTTAAGAATTCCCCCCCCCCCCCGACCCCCGCTCTTTGAGTGAACTTTCATTTGGTCTGATTCACAATAATTTTCGAACAGTCACAAAGTGAAATTTGAAATGACATCACGGACATAAATTCTGATTCGAGAGGGTCAAAAAGTAACTGATGGGTCTCTGAAAAACGAAATGCAGTCACTTTGGGTCGAGGAGCCTATATAGATGATGAACTCATTGTTTATAACTCCATAACCGTATCCCAAAAGTCGAGCCAGCCCGGGGCGAGCGAACACAATCTTGGCGCCACTAGCCACGCCAGTATGTTTGGCTGGAAATTGGCTGATTAGCCAAATCTTCTTAACTCCATGACCACGCACCTTTCCAAATATTGCCCCTCCCCTAATCATTGTATAGTTAGTGCCTCCCTTAAGCATTTGCAACTATTTTGATTTGTATATAGAAGACTGTTTAGCAATTTCCATTACTTTAATGTCTCGTAAACAACACGTGATACACGTTCTGATCTCCCCCCACCCCCATCCATAACAAAACATTTTCAGACCAACACTGAAGGTACGTACAAAAATGACCATCTCAAGGCAAGGTTCATCATTGTGACTTACCACATAAAAATCTTTTCGTTGTTTGCCATCGACTGATTCTGTTCTGAATACTGAGGTCCCACAAACAACGCCACGTTTAGAAAGAGCCCGCCCTTTCCCATGCAAGAAAACCCAAGTAGCAACGGACATAAGCCGTAAGAAAAGGATCGCGTCAAATATTCCATACAATCACAAACGCCTCATGATACCTTTACTTCACTCTTTCTTCAAGAAACGTATTTTGTAAGGATAAATGACGTCCGAATGCGCGATTATAAGCATACTGGGCTTATGAAAAGAAAATTTAACCAATGCACATGAAAGCGCCTAAGACGGGGACTAGGGAGAATTAGAAACATTGTGCGTATCGCCGAAAAAATATTGGCTAGTTCTCTGAATAGACACAATTTAAACCGTTTTTGTTCAGTAAGGAGCTGTTAGATCGGGGGAAAGCGACATAAAGTAGATCACATCAGAATACGGCACAGGACTAGGCTCTCAAAAATCGATAAGCATGCAAGACCAATTATCATGTGAAACAAAGAAAAATTCCTTGAGGGAAAAACTTATGGCTAGGGAAAAGACTCGAAGGTAGAAAGTTAGGATCGTAGCTTCTTTTCAGATAACATTTCCTCAGGCCCGTACATGCGTTAAAAAAAAAAATCCATGAAGGTTAACAAAAAACGATCTTCTCCCTGACTAAAAAAAAAACTTAATTGACTGGACAGTGCTCTATAAATAGATTTTCTATATATTTAAAAAAAAGCTATGATGACTTCAGCCGTGCTCCCATAAAGACCAAAGAAGCATATATCACTAAGGCACCGAGCCAAGGGAAAAGAGAGCAAAAATTTCCAATTTTTCCCTTGACGAAAGCACTATGTTACCTGTTTTACACGAACGGACCTATGAAATCAAGGTTAACTTCCCAAGTGACAAAATAAATCTTTCATTTTTTTCTTTTTTCCAAGCAAATGTGCAGTTACCGTAAATGATCGATTAAGCGCCGCTACTGGAATAAACGCCGCTACGGAATAAGCGGCGCAGCGTTAAATTGATTTACAAATAAACGCCCCACCTTTGTTAGACTTGTTAACGGCGCTTGATACAAAAAGACATCAAAACCATATCGTTTGACAAACAAGACCACGACCCAATCGTGAGTTCTAAAGTTTTAATGTATGGGAACTTTCGAAAC